TATTCTTCCTATCCATGAACATGGGATGTCTTTCCATTTTCTGAGATCATCTTCAATTTCTTCTTTCAGTGTATTATAATTTTCCCTGTATAGGTCTTTCACTTCTTTCATAATAGTAATTCCTAAATATTTCATTTTTTTGCTTGCTAGTATGAAGAGTGTGGCTTCCCTTATTTCTCTCTCTGTGAATTTGTTGTTAGTGTATAGGAATGCTATTGATTTCTGAGTATTGATTTTGTATCCAGCTACATTACTGAATTTATTTATTATATCTAAGAGTCTTTCAATGGAGTTTAGGGGGTCTTCTATGTAAAGTATCATGTCATATGCAAACAATGACAGTTTAACTTCTTCTTGTCCTATCTTTACCCTTTTTATTTTTCTCTCTTGTCTAATTGCTCTGGCTAGTACTTCCAGTACTATATTAAATATGAGAGGTGATAATGGACATCCTTGTCTTGTGCCTGATTTTAAAGTAAAGGCTTTCAATTTTTGGCCATTTAGTATGATACTGTCTGTTGGTTTGTCATAGATGGCCTTTATTATATTGAGATAAAGAACATCTACTCCAATTTTCTGTAAAGTTCTTATCATGAATGAATGTTGGACCTTATCCAAGGCTTTTTCTGCATCTATGGAAATGATCATGTGATTCTTACTTTTGTCTTTATTGATATGGTGAATTACATTTATTGATTTACGTATGTTGAACCATCCCTGCATGCCTGGGATGAATCCCACTTGGTCATGGTGTATAATTCTTGATGATTTGCTGCATCCTATTTGCCAATATTTTATTGAGGATTTTTGCACCTGTGTTCATTAGGGAGATTGATCTGTAGTTCTCATTTCCAGTTGGGTCTTTCTCAGGTTTTGGTACTAGAATAATATTTGCTTCCAGGAATGACTTGGGAAGGATTGCTTCCCTTTCAATTTCATTGAAGAGTTTGAGGAGTGTTGGCATTAGGTCTTCTTTGTATTTCTTGTAGAATTCTGCAGTGAATCCATCTGGGCCTGGGCTCTCCTTTGTAGGTAAGGACTTAATTATATTTTCAATTTCATTAACAGAGATTGGGTTATTCAGCAGTTTTACATCCTCTTGATCTAGCTTTGGTACTTCATATGTTTCTAAGAATCTATCTATTTCTTCTGTGTTATCAAACTTTTGAGAGTAGAGGTTTTCAAAATTGATGAATCTTCTGTATTTCTGTAGAGTCTGTAGTCATTTCACCTTTTTCATTTCTTATTGCATGAATTTGAGCTTTTTCTTCCCTTTTTAAAATAAAGTTGGCTAGGGGCTTATCGATTTTATTTATTCTGTCAAAGAACCAACTTTTTGATTCATTGATTCTTTGGATTATTTTCTTAGTCTCTATTGCATTGATTTCTGCTCTGATTTTTATAATTTCCTCCCTTCTTTTGGCTTTGTGCTTGACTTGCTCTTCTTTTTCTAGCTGTTTGATGTGTAGCATCATGTTTATTTGTATTCGTTCTGTTTTCCTGATGTGGGAACTCAGTGCAATAAATTTTCATCTGAGGGCGGCTTTCATTGCATCCCATAGATTCCGATAAGTTGTATCTGTATTTTCATTTGCTGGTAGGTATTGCTTAATTTCTTTTTTAATTTCCTCTGAGACCCATTGATTACTCAAGAATTTGTTATTCAGTTTCCATGTGTTTGTGGGATTTTTGCAGTATCTTTTATCGTTAATTACTAATTTCATAGCATTATGGTCCGATAGCATGCAAGGGATAATTTCAACTCTTTTGCATTTATTTAAATATGTTCTGTGAGTTAATATATGGTCTATTTTAGAGAATGACCCATGTACTGCTGAGCAGAAATGTATTCTGTTGTTGTTGGGTGCAATACTCTGTATATGTCTATTAAGTCCATTTGTTCACAGGTGCAATTCAGTTCTTTTATTTCTTTGTTGATTTTCTGTTTGGTTGATCTGTCCATTGGTGTCAATGGTATGTTAAGATCTCCTGTTAGAATTGTGTTACTGCTGATTTGGTTTTTCATTTCTGTTAGTACTTGTTTTATATAACTGGATGCTCTGGAGTTTGTTGCATATATATTTAAGATAGCTAACTCTTCCTCTTGGAGTTTTCCCCTAACCAGTATGTAGTGACCTTCTTTATCCCTTCTGATCATTATTGGCTTGAATTTGACTTTGTCTGCAAACAGAATAGCTACCCCCGCTTTTTTGGGGGGTTCCTGTTGCATGAAGTATTGTTTTCCATCCTTTGACTTTCAGTCTGTGAGTATTCTTTTGGGTTAGGTGGGTTTCTTGTAGACAGCATATGGTTGGATTTTGTTTCTTGATCCATTCTGCCAGTCTGTTTCTTTTAATTGGTGTATTGAGACCATTTACATTAATAATTAGAACTGTGATATATTGGTTTATTGTTGACATATTATCTTTCTGCTATTGCATGTTTATCTTTCTGCTCTGTTTAATTGTCTGCTTTGTTTAGAGGTTTTTTTCCTAAAAGTGTCTAGGCTGTCTTTCAGTATTCTTTGCAGGGCTGGCTTGGTGATCATGAAGTTTTTCAGCTGATCTTTGTCATGGAAGTATCTTATTTCTCCATTGAATTTGAAGGACAGTTTTGCGGGGTACATCAGCCTAGCTTGGAAATCATTTTCCTTTAGGATCTGAAATACATCACTCCATGCTCTTCTTGACTTTTTGTTTGTGCTGAGAAGTCTGCTGTAATTCTGATAGGTTTTCCTTTATAGGTCATCTGTTTTTTCTCTCTAACAACCTTTAATATTCTATTCCTTTGTTCAATTTTTGGGATGGTCATTATTGTATGTATGGCTGTAGATTTATTTTGGTTGAGACTAGTTGGAGTTCTATATGATTTATTGATCTTGATATCAGTTTCCAATCTCGTGTTTGGGAAATTTTCAGCTACTACTTCTCTAAATATCCTCTTGACATCCTTTATGTTGTCCTCTCCTTTTTCATTTATCCCTATCAACCTTATGTTGTTTCTCTTTGCATCATCCTATAGGTGTTGAATTGTTATTTCCTGATTTCTTGTTATTTTTAAAAGATCTTTTCTTTCCTGTTCACTGGCTGCAATCTTGTCTTCGAGGTCTGAGATTCTATCTTCACATTCATTGAGGTGGTTTTTACAGCTTTCAGTGGAGCTTTTGATTTCCTGTATATCTCTTTGCATCTGTTTTATGTATTCTGTTTGTTTCTTATATTGTTCATCCAGGGATTCTACCCTTTCGTTTAGTTCCTCTAATTTTTTAACTGCATCTTCTTTAGCTATGTTTAGCATCTGTTTCATTTCTTTTATCAATTCTTCTTTTATCTGAGATATTATTTCTAGTTTGGATTCCTTTAAGGCTTCCCATACTTGCTTCTTTATTTCAGTTACCATTATTTCAGGTATTTCAGTCATGTGGCATGTGTTTTCTTCTATGCACATGGCTCCTGGGCTTTCTTGGGATGGGCTGGATGTTTGAGATTGTATTTTGGTCTTTCATTTTGTCATTTTCCTGTATTTTTGAGCTTCAAGTGTTGTTCCAGGTGTGGAAGAGAGGTCCGCCAGCCTGGGATGGGGTTCCCTGCGATGGCCCCACTCACTGGACCCAGCAGGGAACCACGGCCTGGTCCTCAGGCCAGGAAGAGTGTCTCCTCAGGCTGGGCAGGATTCCCAGCCACCGCTGCTACAGTCACTGATCTGGCCTGGTCCCGGGTCCGGTGGGGAACCGGCCTAGTCCCCAGGTCAGGGAGAGTGTTCCCACAGGCTGGGTGGGACTCCCAGCCACTGCTGCTATACTCCTCCCGGTCCGGCCTGGTCCCCTGTCCGGTAGGGAACTGGCCTGGTCCCCAGGCCAGGGAGAAAGTTCCCACAGGATGGGTGGAACTCCCAGCCGCCATTGCTACAGTCTCTGATCTCAGTCTCTGATCTGGCCTGGTCCCTGGTCCGGTGGGGACACCTTGTCTATTCTTCCACACTGCACAAATGTCCCCTCCCGAGTATATCAGCCTTAACTCGAAGCATCCACAGTTACCCCAGTTACAACTCCAATGCCACCTCCAACCCTCCAAGACTGCATCCTCACAGCAATCATACATGCCCCAGGGTAAGTTATCCTTGCCCTGTCCTTGTGTTCTTAACTCTAGCCCAGAGTTTGGCAGAGATGCCTACAGATCATACATACCCCTGCCTGAAGTGAGTGCTTTGAATTTTAAAGAAAAACTTTGGGAAATGAAGCCTAAACCAATGGCCAGGTGCACACAAGTGTAATACAGTCTCACCCTAAAGTATGCAAATGAGACATTAAATTATTAGAATATCAATACAATTATGCAGAAAATAGTTTGATCCAATATATTGGGAGACTAAGCGGGGCAGATTATGTTTTTTTAGTTCCAAATTTTTCCTGTGCTACAACTATACTCTTCACCTCCAAGATAGAGATGAACCTGAAGTCTTCCATAATCAAAACTGTCTACGGAGCATGGTTTGGAGCACATCTTTAGATGAGTACTTTATGCAGTGGAAAGGCTCAGGGCAGCATACCATCGATGTCCAGTCAGGCCACCTGTCTGAGCCCCTCACACAAAGACCGGTGAATGCATTCCCACTCTCTAGGTCATAACAATAGTAAAGCTAGAAAGAATGGCACAAGAAAGCCTGTGAAGAAGTGTGTGACCTCTGCACCTGGGAAGAGGAGAAAGACAGCATTCCATGGTGTTTGGGAGATGGACCCTTCCTGGGGGCACACAGAACAGATACCAGGCAAGTTGAGATGACAGCCCGGAAATGGAGCACACATATGAAACTGCAAAAACATCCGGGACAAGCAGGGAAAGGGATATGAGAGACACACTGGCAATCTAAACACAGTACCTACAGCAGAAATATTTGCCTTGGTGAACTCTTCAGTGGGTTTGGTGTTTGCATCAAGCAAGAATCTCCAGCAGAATCCATGCCTCACCCAAACATGAATCACCAGCAGATACGTCTCCTACCTGCAACCAAATGCTGTTCTGAGAAGCAGTGATTCCCATGGTTCAGAAGAAACAGGAGTCATCTGGACAGCACTCAAGAGTCAGGCGCTGCCTGCTGTCTGCACAGAGATGTTGAATCAGTTTGGGAGAAGTGGGCTCGGGAGTTTCTATCGGCTCAACTGCTTTCGAGGGAGGCTGAATTAAAACGGATCAACAGAGACAGGACACAGAGAACTCAGAAAGCAGGATCGATTTCTTTCTAGATCAGAGCAACTTTATAAGCTCTCCAACTAAGGATTTAAATCAGAAATCAGAATTTTCTAAGACCTCCTTCTCCTGTCCTGTCCACATCATACTGTATCTCCACTCATGTGCAGACACCAGAGAAGCAGGCAAGGGTGTCGGAGCTTTCAGGAGACAGCTGGATTTGAGCCCTAACAAGAACACTGGCCAGTGTGTAACAGAAGCCAAATCACCAAGCCCTCTATTGCTTCTTATGTGAACTGGGTCTGAGTAAAACTTGGTGGGTGTTATAGACTGAATGCTTGTGGCCTGCAATTCATGCATTTAAGCCACCTCTAGTGTGGCTATTTTAGGGACAATGCCTCTACAGAAGCAAGATAAATGAAGTCCTCAAGGTCAGGCCTGACCTTCTAGGACTGAGGCCCCTATAGGAAGAGGGCAGCATAGTCACACTAGCTTGCACAAAGGGAGGTTTCTGAGGACATAAAGAGAGAGCATTCCTGCGAACCCACGGGGCTTCGTCAGACATCAGCCATGCTGTGCCCTGATCTTGGATTTTGCCCTGTCACAGTTTGAGAAGACAGATTTGAATTGTTTGAGCAGTTCATTTGGTGGCATTTCATTATGGCAGCCCAAGCGGCCTGATACAGATAACTCACAGGAATAAAACAAAATAAATACATGTAAAAACACTTGATGGTCAAGAGTAAATATTACATATGCACAAATATTTATGTCTTATAAAATTTAGAGATGGGAATAATTAGTATAATAACTATATTTACTGAAGATTTTACTCATGTAAACACTTGCATTACAGGACAGAAATAAAAACTGTCTATTTTGTTTCAGTAACTTTTCTTGTAAGAACAACCTTCTTTAAGCATTTCCAATACAGCAATAAAAATATTAGAATCAAATGGTAAAGCAAATCTTATGCTACAAATAAAAGCAGCAAAAGAACCACTTATAGGCCATCCTTACATCTACCAAAATTTTTAATTAACATCTTTCCTGGGTCATTCATTCTAGGCCCTCAAAGAGAACATCAAAGAGGAGTTGTCTACGAAATGCTCCAGCTACTGAGGAGAGCATTGTTCTTTGTGGTAGTAAGGCTCTGGTTATTTTTAAATACTGCACAACACTTTGTAACTCACATTAATGTCACAGCAGACTAGGAGAATGGCTGGGTAATATACAGGTGAGCCATTAGCACTGTGACACTCTCAAGAGAGCTCTCCACAGGAAGACCAGCATGTATAGCACGCTTCAAATTTCTCTAATGAACATCTGCAGAACTTCTTGTATTCTCTGACCATTCCTGAATTAATGGTTGATTTTAGGCACTATTAGTTTTTATGTTTCATCACCTTTCATTGGTTTTAATCAATCCTATGATGCCTCTTATTTCCAACCACTCCTACCAGGTGAGAACACTATGGGAGATGATTGTGGAAGTCTTTCAGCTGAGGAAACATCTGAGACTCACTTCCTTAACCCATCTTTCGATGATGGCATTATGATCAATTTAGTCATCAGTCATCAGTCTGGGACAGGGTATACACATTCAGGGGTACATTAGTGGGCATCACAATACTGGATCAAAAGCTTCAGAGGCCTTGAGTGGGCTGTCAAAGAAACCTACTTGTTCCACTTTGTAATTCAAATACACAGGAACATCACTTCTATTAAAATTAGCCTTCTGCTAAAGTAAAACAGTTAATGGATTTTTAATGGATATTTGCAAGAGAAGATATACCAAATTCAATACAATATCAATTAAAAGATTTTGTCTTTTAATTGAACTCATTGAACTCAATGAGATAAGACTTCACCTTATTTAAAGTAAAACATATGTATTTTAAAAGTATCTGAAAATCTGCTGGTAACAAATTAAAATGGATTTCAGATTTAATGTGATGATTTACTAAATTGTGTCATAAGTTTCACTATATATACACATTAAAATACCTAAGAATAAAAATTAATACATGTTGGAAAACATAAATTATAGTGCTGCAATTCTGGTGCATGATATTACTGTTAAATCTGCATTCCAGTGATTATTCCTATATTTATTTCAAGATATCTTTCATATTAAAAAAGATGAGTCATTTCAAAAATAAAAAGTTATTGGTAATTATACATTGGTAGTTAATTGTTAGTAATACAGCTAAAATATGAGAGTTTGTCCACTGAGCAATAAAGGTTTGTCTCTAAATTTTAGTGAGAAACTTCACTGGCTCCAATGATTCTAAAACATTCAGAAAGTGAAGAGCATGGTTAATCTTATGTAAGCATTTACTTTACTACTATGTAATGTGGAGTACAGGCATTAATTCAGTGAAAATGTCTGCCAAGTTACTTTTTTTATACCCAACTGGGAAAACAGGTCCTTCCCAAGTTAGAAGGCGGATATATCTCTGTCTTACACCAATGCAGATGTACAGATACAACTTATTGCTGTAGACTACTGATTTAAATCCTTAAAGATAAATAAGTATTAATCAGATAGGAACTTTACCATTGAACTTCAAAGACTTCTCCAAACTTGCATATTCCAACAATGGACAGAATCAGGAGAAGGTTTCAAACTTTTTAAGGCTTTGGAAGAGACAGGAAAGAAAAGGGAAATAAAAAGAACCGAGATATCATAGGCACATGTGACATAGCCCACGACAAAGGAAATCATTGTGTACTGCAAACAGGTACCATTAAATTTTTAAAACTTTTAAAAGTGTAGGCACATCTCTTATATAAAGGTAGATATTCCAGAAATATGCATATGGTGCCTATGTATGTCTACAAAATGAGACAAAGGCAGCCTAGATGCAAACTGGGCAACATTTGTTCTTAATAAGAATATTATTAAAAATGGCCAGAATTCTTAGTTTAATTATTGTCTTCTGCAGTCTACTGACAAGACTACTCTTTTTGTGTAAGAAAAAGTTAAAAAGTATAATTAAGGGCTTTATATGACAGCAGGAAAAAACCTCAACCTACACATTATTCTACATTCATTGTCAGCTCTTCAGTTAGACTGAAGGTTCAAAATTCAGCAGTCTGTGTTATAAGTATCGTCTTCAAAACCAGTGTCAATGAAACCAACATGTATGGCACCCAAAAATACATGTGAACTTAGACTATTAAAAATTTTAATTAGTGGAAAATCTGGAATGTAGAAATGTTCTTAGATTTAAAAATTCTCAAGTATATTTTTAAAGCCATACCACTGGCTAAAGAAAGTGCTTCATACACTGAAATAGTTAAACCTAGCAATTTTGCTTTAAAGTTCACATGCCACCCACACCTGCTTTCTCTTCACAACAAACCAGAGGAGCAGAGGAGGCAGAGCAGGAAGCAGATTTGGAAAGATAATTAACCGCTCAACTTGGTATATTTAAGAAGTGGCGGTGCCTGACCAAGTATATAAGCTGTATGACTCACAAATGGTAAGATTCACTTTTAATTAGAGCACTTCCAAGCCATATCTTACCGAAATCTTCCAAGTCTATTTTTAAAAAATCATTGTTATAGTCATGTTATTTTCCGTGGAAATTTTTTTCTTTAAAAAAAGTTAACTTCACTTGAGCACAGTTGTAATAACCCGTTCTACTCTACCTGTTATTCGTTTTTCTAACCAGTAACCATCACAAACTTTGTGTGCCAGCTGCTGTGCAAACGACTGGAGATCCTGCAGTGAACACAGGGAAAGAATCTCTCACCCGGTGAAGCTCACTGGAGTCTCAAACGCACACTCTTTTAATAAGCATGCACTGCTACGTTTCTCCTGTCAGAGGGATGATAACACAGGAATTCAGATTTGCACCAGAACAGAGACAGAAGCCCTAGGTTAGGACTGGGTGGTCAAAGAAGACATTGCTTAAAGTGTGCACAATGAAAGAGGTGGCTGGCCAGAGAAACTAGGTAGGGAATGAAGAACATTCCATGCAGGAAAGCAGCTCCACACGCAAAGAAGGAGGAAGCCTGAGGTCTACCCTAAGGAACCAAATGCAGACCAATGTGGCTCAGTGGGTAGAGACCCAGAGACTGGGCAGGCTGATTCTGCGAACTCCTACAGACTCTCCGAGGATTCTGAGTCTCTTCCTGTGGAGTAGCCCCAGAATCATTCCAAGTGAGTAGCCGCAGTGAGCCTGACTGGCATCCTGAAACATTCACCTGTTTGCAGAGTGAAAGATGTAGAACAACAGGCAAGAAAGAGCCTGAGGAGATAGCAGGCTAAAAGCAAAACCCAGATGAGAGACAAGGTTAACACAGAAAAGGTTCACAGCACTGCAGACAGCAGAACAGACTCAAAACATACTGGGGATGTGAAGCAATAGCACTCCGTGATAGGCTGCTTACAAATAGGAGTGAGGAGACTGGATAGTGAGGTTTACTTAATTAGGAAAAACCCAGCTAGAGTACATTCATAGGACATCTGTATTCACAAAGCTAATTGATGATTCAGGTTAATTACTGTTCTCCACATGTTGAATTTCTGACATGGGTTTTGTAAGCATAATTCAGCAACACAACAATGGCAGAAGCTGTCATACCAAAATGAATTGCTAACATATGCAATTAAAATAAATGTCTATGAGATGTAACTGTCAAAATAGTAATTATGACTTAGTGAGCTACAAGCAGTTTGAAGACTTATTTGAAATTAAATTCATGCCCCTTATAGAGTCTTAGCATATTCCAACCAAGGTAATTTTTTCTCCAAAAAAAAAAAAAAAAAAAAAAAAAAACAAAACAAATATAATCACATTCTTTACCAGTGAATATTCAGCATGATTCAGATAAACTAAGTATATAACTGGGGACTGCTTTGAGTAGTTTAATGACTTTGAAATCATGTTTATTTGAAAAG